TGGTGCGAAGGGTATGTTATCACATCTGTATAGTGCGGGAAGTCTATTATCGCACCAATAAGATGCGACAAGTTTGGTATCACATGTGTTTGATGCGACAAAAAGTGTTATCATATTTGTTTGATGCGATAAATGTTATATTTTCAAAGATTGACTTTCCAAAAGTGTTTTGATGATGTAATAGCTACAAAGGGATTACTCACTAGACCTTACGGTTTAACCCTCATTTTGTTTTAAAAAATATGCATTACAGGTCGGGCACATCTAGAAGGTAAAGGGAAGGGGAATATGTAAATTGAAGTGTTATTGTTTTACATCTATGAACCTTTGGAAGCCGAGTTTATACATGTACATTGTGAGAAGCAAAAAGTTTGTAGCGACTTTTGTATATAGTAATGTGTACATTTGAGACCAATGTGTAATATTTGTATTTCATGTTATATGAAATATATGTGTTTTATGCATATGGGAAATGGGGTGTTACATATATTCAAAGGTTATTTTGAGAAATGGTAAATATTTGAGAAGTAAAGGAGTGATCTATCCCTTCATACGGTCAATATCGGATTTGACTGGTTAATAATTGTGATTTTGACTGGTCAAAATTTGCCAATATGCGAAAAATAAAGATGGTAGTTTCGTAACTTTTTAAAATAAACGGCAAATAAGTGCACATATAAACCTATTTGATTCACATATGAACTATATGTTCATACGTGAACTCGTGTAATTCATATATGAACTATTTTAACTGATTCACATATGAACTCGTGTAATTCATACATGAACTAATTAACTGATTCACATATGAACCCGTATGATTTACTTATAACTGATTCACATATGAACCTGTGTGATTCACATGTGAATTAATTAACTGATTCATACATGAACCTGTGGGTTCATATATGAATCAGTTAAATAGTTCACATGTGAACTAATTAAATGGTTCACTTATGAACATATAGTTCATATGTGTATCACATGGGTTCATATATGAACCTGTTTACCGCCTATTTGTAAAAGTTACGAAACTAACCCTCTATTTTATGGATACCCATGCGAAAAATTATCCGGTGCTTCACGATCAAAGCCGCAAATGTTGACTAGAGGAAGGGCTATGATCACTTCTTTACTTCTCAACTGAACCTTTCCATATATATATATATATATATATAGAGAGAGAGAGAGAGAGAGAGAGACTCTTTCAAATGCAAATCATACGAAAGTCACAGACTTACAAACCAAAGATATTTTGGTATTTTTACCAATATTTTAGATATTTTAAAAAACTATTAATTCCATAAAGATCTTATTAGGTTACCATATGTAATTGATTCCGTATTTTTAGGAATAATTCATATTCATAACCATCCAAAAAAAATTCGTAATACAAGAACAATTCATAACCATCCAAAAAAATTTGTAACCATTTGAAAAAAAAATCATAATTGTAGTAAAAGAACAATTCATACCCATTCATAAAAAATTCAAATTTTTTACACAAGAACAGTTCATACCCGTTCATAACCATTCATAAAAAAATCAAAAATTTAACACAAGAACAGTTCATACTCATTTGTAACCATTCATAAAATTTCATATACAAGAATGATCCATATACAAAAATTCACCACTTTTTTCATATATGAAAACAAAATGAAAAATGATTTAACATATGGAAAAATTCTTCACCTTTTCATATATGAAACATTAGATCAATTTTCCTTAACAAAGTCACGATCTCAATGATGAAAAAATTCATCACTTTTTCATACATGAAACAATATGAACAAAATATTCACCTTTCATCTTCATCACTTTTTCATATATGAAACACTGGATCGATTTTATCGGACAAAGTCACAATCTCAGTGATGAAACTTACGCTACAGTTTGGGATTTGGATCAACCCACACTTATCTGCAGCCCCCATACCTTTTTCCAGCATTTCCACCGTCTTCTCCATCTCATTCTCTCTTGTAAATGTAGTCAACCAGTCACGATTATACACTTCACTTCATAAGGTGGCCAGTGGTTGCACCAGATCGAGAGAAAGAGAGGTCGTGAGATATACAAATGGTTAGAAAATCATGGGAAAATATAGAGATAATTACAACTTTTAAATTTAAATTTAAATTAATTAAAATAAATTCCAAAACCACCCTTTTCACTAATTTTTAAATCAATATTATTTCAGAAAAATCTCAACCGTTAATTTAAGATAATGGAGGAATAGGATTAATTTGCATGGTTTGTAATCTTGGAGGAGTTTGCAAAAGATTGCCCGGAGGACTCAATGATTATTCGTTCGCCGGAACAAGAGCTTTTGCTCATGGAGCTATATTTTTTTTCTTGGATAGCTACGAGAAATCCGGTTCGCCCCATTTCACAAAAGCCGCATAAGTAAATATATAACATGCAGAAAAGTGGGCTAATCCACCCCCTATATATATACTAGAAGGGTACCCGCACAATGAAGCGAGATAAATCTCCATTCCATTGTTTTGTTTTTATTATGTCTCTATCGATATAATACGATTTTATGTGGTTTTGAGAAAACGATAATATTTTTATTTTGAATGAAATATAAATTTGAAGATAGCACAAAAAATTTTAAAAAAATAAAATCGATATCAGTATTAAATTAACTATCTAATAGTTCTCGTTTTTCTGTTGTAACTTCTTTAATTCAATTTTTTATTATAATTTAATTTAGGTCTAATAACAAAGTAATTTTTTTTGGTTTAATAATATAATTTTTTATTAAAAATAATAATTAAATATTCTGTTGGAAACTCAATGATTATCTTAATTATATTTTAAATTTTTTATATTTAAAGTGGATGTTTATCTTGTATTTAATTATGTTTATCTGCAGTTAGGTATACGAATTTAAAAATGAAGCTTTAATAAGTTGTACTTACGCAAAGTCACTCATAATCTTGAATTTTAAGTAATATTCATTAATAATTAGTACTTCATGCAAAAAAAATGATTTTTAAGAGTTTCTGTCAAATGTTTTATAATATAGTATAGATATACACACCCACATACACACTTGGAATCATATGAGACCAACTTTTTTTTTTCTTGAAACCTGTGAGACCACTTTTTTATACTTGAAACTTCATAATAAAATACTGTAAAAGTAACTTTCACAATGTTTTTACTATGAAGATAACCCAACCCTATATATATGATAATTTAAAAGCCCAGACATGTCCTTATATTTTGGTAAAATAAAGATGTTTTCGTTTAAACCCAATCTATCATAAAATATTGATAATCCTTACACATTTTCGTTCATATTGTTAAACTAAATTAATATACTACATTTTTAACAAATAATAAGAAAATATTTTCACCGAAATATATACCAAAAGTATTTATTTATAAGATGGATTTTGTGTTTTAGCTGTGTCAAATTGACTTATAAAATAAGATCAACATTGCGACACTCCATCCTCCCCTTCCCCTTCCCCTTAAAATATATCCACAATATTTCACATTCTTATTATGATGTTGATACTCCCTTTTCCCTTTTCTTTTAATTTATTATATATATATATATATATATATATATATATATATATATAATGTTAAAGACATTACTTGTCTTATTTGTTAACGTTAAAATTCATCAACAACATGTTTTTATCTCTTATGTTAATGAGACACAATATTTATTCAAACTGAAAATAAATCAAATTTCTTGTTTATTTCTAAATATTAAATTCACAATTTACCAAAATTAAAAGATATCAACTTTATTTTACAACATTCTGTCTCATGTTCATATTCAAATATTTTTAATTTTTCTAGTTTTAAACAAATGACTTTATAAGATGAAATTATAGACTTGAGATTACATGAGACAAGACCGTTTTCATGAGATATGATTTTTTATACTTGAAATTTTACAGTAAAACACCGAATGTTTTTGTTATGACGGTTCGACTTGTTTTTACCTTCACAATTTTTTATTGTGATGTTTCAAGCGTAAAATCGTGTCTCAAAAAACCACAAGTGAAATGAAGTATATTTTTCTTCTTGTTTTTAAGTGAGAATTCTAAATCATAATTCTGAATCTGATTCATGGTTTCTTGAAAAATAGAAGTTAGTTATTTTACTTTGACTTGGTGGTGGTGGCACGTGCTGTGCATCTTTGACTATTTTATTAAGACACCCCTGACCCACCATTTGGAACACACTGTTTATTCAAAGGAATAACAGACTACAATTTCATTTCATGCAACTTTTTTTTATACTATCATCATCTAAAAATTTCACACTTGTATCTATAAGAGTATTTCATCCCCACGATCATCATAAACAAAATAATGGTATATCAAAAGGATACCTGGATACGAATTCGAGACCTCAATTATAAATTCCGACCTTATTTATACATAAGCTACTTTGAAGGTAAGAATCCACACCACTTGATTGTATGTAGAATCTAACCCCACATCATTTCATCCACAAATTCCAACTCTCTCTTTCCAAATACACCATCTATAGATGCTTATTACTATACTTGATGAAAAAGAAGAGAGATAAGAAATCACGAAGATTCATTATGTATGTGTGTGTGTGTGTGTGTATATATATATATGGAACTCACTTCTTTGATGTGATGATACATTGGTATGAGACCCACAAAATAAAGATGGCCTATGAAAAATGGGAACAGAGAAAAACTTCAATCTTGAAGCTTGAGCATGAATGCTGAATATAAAGATAATTAAAGAAAAGAAAAGAATAGAGCTTGTTATAAGAATTAAGAATTAATTTTAGGTCAATTTGTGATGAATATGTCATAGTGCATATGTACAACATATCCAATTAACTAAAGATGCTACAATCACCTGCCATTTTTGGTCTTAAGCTCCTCTTCAGACTAGGATTCTAAAGCTTTCTCTCTTGTGCTTTTTCTGCATCAGAGTTGTAGCCAATGGAAAGCATGCATCATTAATCAGCCACAACTAGGAGGGCAGTTTTGGTACACAAAAATAGGTTAGAATAGTTATAAGGGCAGTTCAGATGCTACTGCTTGAATGGAGACAGTAAGGAGACATTACCAGATGAGAACTTCAGCAGGTCTGATATCTAAGTGTGTTTTTTTAGCTGGAGCATCCACAAGTCGCACCATTCCGGGGGTAAAATATATCACGTAGATGTAATAATCTGATGAGTCCTAGCAAAACTACTCATGAACATACACCTACACACGGAAATTGGACATAAGATTACACAAAAATAGCACATTTGAATCGATCATCATATTCACTTCTTGCCACCGCTTATAAAAGAACAGGAAAAAGATGGAATTTGTCGTTTGTTAAATATCATCTTTTGTTAATGAAGCGTAACTAGAAGCTAGAACTAATCCTACACAGCAGTTTCAAGAAGTAATATCTTTTACCAAGACATTCACAAGGAAGCAGAAGCCATTTCAGGAACAGATAGAACGCTTTCTGCTTCAAGAACAAGCAGCCTAACCAAATTGATCATTCGTTTTGTTTTAGGGTCGGACACAGCTTGAAGCCTTGGGATCTAGCATCATTAGGGCAATATGCCAAAACATTATGCTATTTGTAACTATTTTTTATTTTCAAATAAAGTTCTCTATTAACATCAATTTCATCGCTAACCAATATCACATTTGAGACTTCATAAGCCCTAATACGAAGATATACCAAATATTGACCATGGGTGGCATATTTTGCATGAATTACTGTAAGTAAAGAGAAGCTAAATGTTGATTTATACATCCTAATTCCTAACAGCTAAATCTCAAAGAATTTAGACTGCAAGCCACTATCCATAATCGTGTTTGAAACTCAACAATGACGTCATGTGCCCTCCTAAAACATACCTCAGAACTAATGATTATTTTTTGTCTAATTTGGTGATTGAGATATCTTAGGGTCAGGGCGGAACTATGATGGCCCCAACAGGGTCCTGTGTACCTGCTCCACCGATTTGCGCAAATAGATTTTTTTTGGGGGTATGAAAGGTGCAGATGCTGAACTTTGAGGGGTGCCCTTGGATATAAGAAAATACAAGGGACATCAACCAAAAAACCGAAAAAGTCCCTCGAAATGAACCAAAAAACTTAAAAAATCGATCAAAATCAACCATAAAACTTAAAAAATTCCTCAAAATGGTGGAATTTGGCTAAAGACATATCAAGCGACTTTGAGGGCCCTTGATCCTCCTTAAAAATCCTGGGCCCACCCCTGCTTATGGTGGTAACTGGTCGCATGAAAATACAAGCAAAAGCTTGAAGAAATGAGAAAATGAGAACTTTCACTTAATCATGCATACCATTGACTGACCTCAAATCTCATCCTGCAAGTTCACTTATGGGTGGTCGATCCATCACATTAGATGCAGCTGTTGCATTTCTTTGCAGTTGAGGGTCTATATCTGGCAATTTGGGAATCTGAGGACAGGAAAACCGTTAAAAAAGGGTAGCAACAAACCAATATATGTTACTCCGGAAGAGAGACATAACCATAAACATGTACCTGTGCCAAAACATCAATTGTTCTACGTAACAGGCGTGCTAGATCTCCTTCATCCATTGCACAATCCATCATCATTTCCCTCCAAGTAAGACCAGATGCCCAGGCTTCAACCATGCCAGAAAACTGGCTATCCAAACAACAAGATATCTGCATGCCACATCATACAAAGCATCTTCTTTGTTATATATAACTGAAAGAGAGAAAATTATAACATCCAACGGACGAACCTTCACATCATGCTTTTCTTGAAGTTGTAAAAGTGATCTTCTTTGGTCATCAAGAAAGTTGATGATGTCTAAAACGGCAGTAGAAGGCTCATAAATATAACTGCACGAATTAAATCGTGTGAATACATGCCCCCAACATTTCTCACATTTGGCCAAGTACTGAAGTCGAAATTGTAACTTAAAGAAGTTGTAAAAAGATAATTTGAAAGCCAAAAACGGAGAAAAGAAAAGCATTTACATGCTTACGCACTTAAAATCATATAAAACAACTCAATCAAAGTACCAAAAATAAATGAAACACCTGTTATTTTTTGAAGGTCTAACTTTGATTCCTTCAGAAACAATGCTTCCACAAACAGCAGCTAGCTGTGCAGGTTTAAGATTTAACAAAATTTTATTTCTAAGAACCATTGCAATCCAAAGTTCATTCTCCCCTCGAAGAGCAGCAGCAGTTTCACCAAGAGGAAATATCACTTGCGTATTGATATCCAAAGCCCTTATTTCATGTATGACTCTGCTCACCTGTGAAAAGTAGTTCAGCAGTCATCACAGATCGAACTGATAACAATAACAATCAATGATAATATAATTTGCAACACCACCAGAAAAATGTGTTCAGATTACCTGCAAAAACTCCTTCCACCCAGATGGTTCAATTTGCTCTATACGTGTCATCAAGCGATCTGATCTAGCTTTTAGACGTCTGATCTTTTCCTCGGTGAACTTAGCCATATCCACTATCTTCTTATATTCTTTAAAGCCTTCTGTCCTAGCTATTCTTTTCTTCAATTGAGAAACTTTATTCCGCTGATTCTTGTAAGCTTCTACTGTATCGTAGTATGCTTGCGAATATTGCAGAACCTAACCAACAAGAAAATAGAAGACTCATATGTGAACAAACATCTTTCATGCATGACGCTATGATCTATATATGATAGTAATGTTAAGTCCAATATCATGGCCCAAATGGTTCTTAGACTTTTAGTGAAAGATTTAATCATGTGCCCAACCAAATGTATATTGGCTAGAAGATTAGTTTTGTAAGTATCATAATAGGAATTAACACAAGCAAAAACCGGTGCTTATTACCTCATTATCCTCAGAAAGACTACTTAAAACAGGGACATTTAAACTCCAGGACCATGTCTCAAGTGACCCTTCCATGGACCATATGCCTCCAAGTTCAGATTGGCTGAGCCTCTGCCACTGCATTTCCTCCTTTTCTAGAAGAATGGTCATTATTTCTCGAGGTAAAGCGTCACCATTAGTCAAACCAACATTGGGGAAGCCTGTTCTATATACTGTCTTAATACACCTTTCAGTGAAAAGATACCATGTGTTATCAGAACCAAGAGCGACACCATAAGATGGTTTCGTATCAAGTTGCTTTTTAAGGTCATCAGCAACACCTTCAGCTGTTACTTTTAGAGTAAAAGAATCATTCTCAACAACCTGCAAGTAGCAAAGTAACTAGACATTTAAGATGTGCTGTTGAACAAGTACAGTAAAAAGAAATCTCATGATGCATGGATGTGACATGAACTAAAAACCTTAGAAAATATTTACTATAAATTGAGGGACAAGTTTTGATATATAAAGAAGGCATGTGCAAGAAAACGTACCATATTCTTAAGTTTTGAACCATTCATGGAATCAACATCACCCAAATAAACAGCAGGGACCAAATGTTTAACTCCAGCACTATCATGATACTGCAAGCACAAAAAAGGTAGATGTCCATCTTCCAAATTTTGCAGCAACGGTCTCAAGGAAGACATTCTTTCCATTTCCATCTTTCTACGGAGCTCTGTCCGAACACGCTTTTGTGCCTGAGAAAGAGAGAAAACAATTGTCCACAACAATTAAGTAGAAGAACACACGCATCTTGTCTATAACTTGATGAGAATAATTTAATATTTAAGAGAACTTCACAAATGAGGTGAACAAACCCCTAAAGTGGGGCATAAATCCCCATCTACTGTATTTCATTGAGGGAGATAAAAGAATCTTATCGATAAAGTAAAGAGCTAAAGAGGCAGACTTACTCTGAGTTCGTCCTGCAAATCTGCCATTTCTTTGTATGCTGAATTTGATAAAATATTCTTGCTCTTCCTGTCAATAGCTTCATCACTGATTTCGGAAGTCAAAATCTCAATCTCCTTTTGTATTTTATTAAGCTCCTCTTGTGCAGCAACCATAACATTACTCCCTACATAATTTCCAAAACTCTGCTCAACCAATTTCCTTGCTTCTTCTAGGGTGCGTCCAACTCTAGAAACTTCTGTACCATCTGCTTCATTTAGTCTCTGAGTAACTTTTGCACCCTGCCTCGCCCAACACTTATCAGTGTACATGTCACCAAAAAGATAACAAGAGAAAGATCACAAATAGTTTGGCATACATACCGCAAGAAGATTAAGAACCATTCCATATGATGCAGTAAACTGTGATACGAGGGGTTGTAGCCCAGCAAAAAGAAGTTTGCAACAATCTTCAGCTCCTTCGTAGGGAGTCTGAACAACGACCACATGACCCCTTTTATCTATGCCTCTGCGTCCAGCACGACCAGCCATTTGAAGCAGTTCGTTGGTGGTTAATTGGATGCGTCCACTTTCACTCCTCTTGCTGAGTGATGAAATCACAGCTGTCCTTGCAGGCATGTTGATTCCAGCAGCAAGCGTTTCAGTAGCAAAAACAACTTTAACAAGTCCTCTTTGGAACAACTCTTCTATAAAAGATTTCCAAAGAGGTAGACAGCCAGCATGGTGAGCTGCAACTCCTCGAAGTATCCCTTTTACAGCTGATTCCCTGACAGCATCAGGATACTTGAATCGGAACCTTTTCAAAGCCAAATCAACTTCACTTGTCTCAAACTCATCTAAAAGCTTGCAGTCATCAAGATACTGGACTGCTGCATCACAACCTTTCCTGCTAAAGATAAACCAAACTGTAGGCAGCATGTCCCTTGTTTTAAGATGCGACAATGTATCCATTACTTGAGGAACCTGAAATTTTAGAAAGTCATTGTAGATTATGCCAGTCAATCTTCAGGGACTTGATAAGAAACAAATAACAGAGAAGTGAAATCATACTTGTGAACGACGAACGTTGTTTCTGTCATTCTTTGAAGGAGGTGATACATCGTTCTCAAATTTTCTTGAGTTCCTCCTTCTAGGCCTCTCGTCCTCATATGACTTGGGTCCCAAGGAATTAAGTTGCAGATAGTTGAGTGATAGCTTCCTATTCCAGATCATCAAAAAATTCCCAATCGTCACATGTTGAAAAATACGATTGTAATGGATCATGTATAAATATCTTGGTTTTCTTGCTTCCCAAGTGCAAAGAAGGTTTTTCTTTTTCTTTGTGTGTGTGTGGAAAGAGGGATAAAAAAAGAGAAAGAAAGCCGCGTGGGGGAAGGGGGGGGGGAACTTCAAGGAAAATGTGACCGAAGAACCACAATGCAAAGTTACTCATGTTTAAAGGTCTGAAAGTGCAACTGAAGCAAACAAAATTCCTTCTCAAGTCAATGAGACGTACACTTTCATCTTCACAATGGTTGCTAATAAATGAACCTGTTTCGTAGCCCATCAACAATATTAATATGAAAATCATCTAACATGACCAGTAAAAAATGATGATAACTGTTTGAACCCAATAGTTGTCGGAAGTATCTAGAAGTTACTATCCAGCTCATCCTTCGGTCATAGGGATCAATTTCTAGTCGCATAGCTTCATAATAATTCTGTAAAGCTTCCGCATAATTTCCTTCGGATTGAGCTGACATACGTTACGGATTTCTAATATGGAAAGATACAAAATAGAACTTATAAAGCAAAAGATAATAGAAATGACTAGTCTTAGCTTAAGCTTGTTCTGAAAATTGTTCGTCTAAAGAGTAACCGAAAAAAGAAAAGAAAGGAAGAAACACTTTGAATGTTATAATGGGCACAATAGATTGTATCAGCTAATTAACATCTTGCATGACATAAAAGCACCAAGAAACACTAAAAAGGCAGAAATAATAAGAGATGCCCTTATATGCTTCACATAGGAGGATGACTACCATATAAAGAAAACTCGGTATATTGTCAACTGCCACAGAAATTGCATGAACTGAACATCAATCAGTTCCAAAAATAGTATGTGCGGGTATGGAACCGTTAGCTAACCAAATGGGTTGCAGAGTTACCTATTCATGCTGGTTCCTGTCTCATTGAGAAGGGGAAGAAAAGCTGTTTTGGTGGAGAAGTGCCATATCAGAGGAACTGGACGCTTTGATGATGCCACCAGCTCTGTTCTACCATGAATCTAGAACATAAAAATTCAGTGATTTAACAGACGAATTACATTAATAGAACCCCGGGAATAAACATGTCTTATACTTTGGGGAGCTTCCTAGTTCCTACAACTAGAAATCTCTTTATTTCATTCCATAAAAATACAGTGATGCAACCATATAATTTAGGGCTGAAAATCTTCCAACATCCACAATAACAACAAACATAACACTAGGATGTTATCATTAATAAAGCACTATACCTGATTGATCCAACCCGATAATTCATCCGGATTTGCTACTGTTGCTGACAAGCATATAAGTTGAACTTCTTTTGGGCAATAAATGACCTATAAACATATGTGCACACAGTTAGACTACACCCAAGGGTTAGTTGCTATTACAAAATTAGGACAGGGAAACCACGCACTATCTCTTCCCATACTGTACCCCGAGATATGTCACTTAGATAGTGTACTTCATCCAAAACAATCACATCAACATGGAATAGTCCACTTTCTGATGACATAATTCCAACACTGCACCCAAAAAGGAAGGATACAATACAAGTAAGATGCATGCCTTGGTAGGCTCTGTTTGAAGGAAATAACAACGTTGGCCAAAAACTAGTAGCTCATGAAACGTATGAAGAACTTACACCGTACACACCTCTGATATAACATGTTTCTTAGGATCTCAGTGGTCATAATTAGAACTTGAGCATCCCTATTGATGGCAGAATCTCCGGTGAGAAGACCAACATTGTCCTCACCGAATGCATCACTGTAAAAGCAAGAGCCAGCGATCATTTTCTAAAGAAATGAGTGAATCGAATAAATAATAAAAATTACATTTAAGTTCTCTTTATTTCTAACTTCCATCATTTGCTTAGATGTAGAAATGCTTAATACCAGAACTCGCGGAATTTCTGATTAGATAGTGCCTTGAGAGGAGTAGTATAGAATAGTCTCCTTCCTCTAGCTACTGTAGCAACAGCTGCAGCCTCAGCAATCAAAGTTTTTCCTGCACTTGTGGGTGCAGAAACTACAACCGAAGAACCTCTCAAAAAAGCTTGAATTGCTAACCGCTGCACAAAATCAGCATAAACTATAGAAATGAGATAAGAAAAAAAAAAACTTTATGCATACCTTTTATTGTTTTAGCTTAACCAAAGGATGTATTTAGTTTGATTTGTACAAACATACTTATTTACTGGCCAACAACTTGAATGGGGTCACAGTAATTTATTTAATGATTAAGGGGCTGTTTGGTTGTTTTTCCATTAACCTCTGTATGAATTAAGCTAAATACTTGTATGTTTGGTAGGCTGAATAAACAGTCTGAATGACAAAAATGACTATTTTACCCCTCAGTCTAGGTATAAGAGGACTCCAAACCCTTCCATTTATCTGCCTTACAACTGGTCATCATAATCTAACCCTCCACCCTTCTTTTAGTTGAAGGCATCTTCATTGGACCCGGTTCGCCTACTCATCACCTCTCTCACCACTCAGCGATTGAACAAGTGAACCACACTTACCCCTATGGAAAGACTCTTTTAACACATACAACTTGATTTGGCATCAGCAGTGAAATTATTTGGGATTCATCTAGTCCAAATACCAACCTATCAACATAGTCTTAAATGTCCACATGGTAGGATGCAAAATCTTTATGGCATTATCAAAGTATCTATACTCTTTCATTTGGAGTGAAGCGTCTGGATATTACTGGTAGTATGATATATGTAACAGCTTGCATCTTATCTAAGCCCTTCCACATTCAGTACAGCCACAAGCAAAAGTCACATACTTCCTTTTAGAGGTATCAAATCTATGAGGTGAACAGAAGATACTTGGGTTCAAATTCTTCACATTTAGTTCATTGAAAGTAACCTTTGAACATGCAAGTCATCATAACACACATATGTTACTGACCTTCAATTCATATTATAAAAGATTATTCCAAATATAAGAAACAGATTTGTTCACATAACTTCAATTCATATTATAAAAGATTATTCCAAATATAAGAAACAGATTTGTTCACATAACTTCAATTCATATTATAAAAGATTATTCCAAATATAAGAAACAGATTTGTTCACATAACCTCGACCAAGTTTTGGATTTAATCAAACATCATAATGTGTCTTGTCTACGTGCTGGTCACTGAAATTAAATGGAAAATACTCTACATAAATTGTCTAACGAACAGGCACATAGCAAGATTTGGATATCATCACTTAAACATGGGTATTTCCATCATAACTTAGAGAGATGGTTTACCAAACATTTACCGGTAAGCGCTTATAGGCAAGAATCATCATTCATCACCTTCGTTCACCTTGTTAGTTTACATCATTGGCCATCAAAATGGATTGTCGTAAACGCAAACCGAATAAAAGTATTCTCCGAAACTTACCTGGTAAAATTGCCTCTTACAGAATAAGAATCTCTTTCCTTGCCATGCTTACCAGATTAACGTTCGGTAAACGACCCCTTGGTAAAATTATCATACACCGAATGCAAAATTGGAAATGTAGTAGCAAAAACCACCTGAAATTTGTCAATTCGAAAGTTGTAAACGGAAGCAAGCTCATCAACATCGATAATGCCATCACCATACTCCTTCACATCATTACGAATCCTCTCAATTCTTTGCCACTTGAACTCCTCAAAACGAGACTTGCTATCATCACCTTCCAAATCATCACTCTCGACCTCATCTTCGTCATCCTCTTCAATTTCCTGACTAAATTCACCAACCACTTCATACTCCTCCGCTGCTTCCTCGTCATCTTCATCATCCTCATCAGTATCTTCAGACACCTGAGACTCCCCAACTGAAAAATCCGATTTGGGGAACTTGTAATTACTTGGAAAAGGAAGGTGTTTTTGGTTGCGGTTTTGAAAGGAATTGTGGAAAGAGAAAGGTAGGGTTCTTCGGGAGGGAGTTGTGAATCTGAAGTAACGATGAAGAGAGATATGAAGTATAGGGATTTGAAGGGAAAGTGGGGAGAGGATAAAGGAAGAAGAAGAGTACGTGTTCATGGCGGGACAGATTAGGTTGTAGCGTCCAACCATAACAGTTTCAGTTCTGGTATGGTGATGTTGTTAATCGTCGTCGTTTCGAATCTTGAGTCTTACGGAGAGAAGTCAACTGTCAACCCAAAATATATGGGCCCAAATGTCAAGACCCACTGGACCTTCTTAATGCTGTTTTTTATGGTCAAAGTGATAAAAAAATTTGATGGATTGTTTGTCTATTAAGTATTAACCTATGTATTGTGTTTAATGTGATTTGATGGATTGTTTGTTTACCTTTTTATAGTTTCATTAAAAAGCAACTTCTGAATTGTTAAGAGGTGAATTTTGTTTGACAAAAAAAAAATCTGTTTTTTAATGGTTCTAAAATCATCTGAATGATTTACATCTTGGACCTCCCTTAACCATTCCACACCCTAATTTCATTGTAAACAATTACCAAACAATTATATTTTATTTTGTACTATAACATGAGAGTCTCTTAATCATTCTTTATCAAACCATTCAGCAACTACCAAACAGTCTCATATAGTTTATTCAACCAAAATTTACTAATAGGCAATCATTTTTTTCCATGATAATATGAAAGGACCTTAATTTCTTCTTTCTTCCACAACAAAATATAAGCAAGAACAAGCTTTTTGCAGTATATATTCGCATTAAGGAACCGGGTAACCCATACAACCCGCAAAAGGTCTTTTGACGACTTCTTGAATCGCCATAGGAACCAACTCAATGAACAAAAGTTGTAGAAGTTTTTGTAACTCAATCATAGATGATGAAACGAAGAAAGATATTGACCTTTTCAAACTCCATCTGCAACTCATTAGAGGCCCTGGAAACAAAGAAAAGATGTGACTTACATTTTATTTGATCTATATATGACTGTTATTTAGGAGCTTAATGGTAATAAAAGGATTTATTCAGTAATTTTTTAAGAGAAGTTTTATGCAGAGAACCAAGGTCTTCAAAACTACACTTTCAAATTAAGAAAAACACGCTCCTTTCATGACAGATTAATCCACACAGAAAGTTTTATCCATACATGACTTAGACTACATTAAACAAAAACCAATTGAACAACCCTTAGACTACATTAAATTTCCTTATTATAACCTTGTGATTTTACTTTTCTAATTATAACAATGTATTATTTTTTCATTAGGGTATTATACTTTGAAAAAATCTAATCAACGAAAACTTTCCATCTCCTTTTTTTGGCAGTGGTTGACTGCGGTTGACTGCTTGAAATTGGATGAGCCATGGGCAACCTGTAGAGCATTTTCCAATGGAGTGACTTATTAAGTTTTTTTTTGCATTTCATTTTATTATATTATTGATAATTTAACAAATTAAGAACCATAAAATTTTATTCTTATCTAACAGTTATACTCAAGGACGGAGTAGGTTGCTATGGTAGCAGTTATACTCAAGGACGGAGTAGGTTGATGTTGAAAAAAAAATTCAATTGAAGTTTTAGGAATTTTGTGTTTTAGCTAAAATTCATGTGATGCCCATCAATTAAAGTCTAATGCCCCCAACTTACAAGATCCCAACCAATCGAAGTCATCTCATTTCTCGTATGTCATTTGTTATTATACCATTGATTTGATAGACGAAGGATGGTGTTTGATTGATCCAAGGGGTATATCCCATCTTACCCTTTTACCATGACTTTCATTCTCACCAGAACCCGATCCTGATTTGATAAACCACTATTTTTTTCCAGCTTTCTTTATGCATTTTATTATTTTGTGGATCTATAAATTTTTACTAGGTTTCAGATTTTTAACATTTTACCACAGGCAAACATCTCCCCAGGAATGGATCTGCAAAAGCTCCAAATATGCATCAAATCTCACTATTTCATACCACATGATAATTTTATTCATCAATTAGATTAAAAAGACCACAACAAACATCATCAATGTCTTCTTTCTATTTATAGCAAGTTCCATAATTTAAAAATGTAGATGAAAAGACTAAAATACAGTTGTTGGAGAGAACTGGTGTCCATTCATAAACAAAGCTCGAATTGCGGCACAAAACAAACATACCGCAAAGTCTTCTTTAGACTCGGAAAAAGTAAAATTGGCAACGGAACAAGGAACCAATTTGATTTGAACTTTGTACTTGTCGTACACTTCCTTTGCCACGCGTTAACAGCATACCTCTGCCAATTGAAAAAGACGATTAAGATATTTCCAAATGCATATTGTAACATAAAATGGGTACATTTCATAGGATTATAAGGTAGAATGATGAAAACACAAATAAATATTCACATACTTTCCAATATGTTAAACCACTTTAGGATTTTTTTAACCTTTTCATAATGTTAGTCATTCGGCTAAGCTAGGAGCATTCGGGCAGTAGTTTTCCTTTACGTATCCTTAAATTTATTTTTTCTCTCTGAAGTCTAAAAGTTGCATAATTTACAACAGGCAAAAATGGAGCAAAGCTTTTAATGGATAAAAACACTCTGAAAAAGACACGGTTTTAGAAATGTGTCATTATAACACTTTTTAGGTAACTAAACGACAATTTACCCTTAATAATAGAGAGAGTAATGAAGTTCTCCATCTCATGATTAAGGGTAGAATTGGAAAGTAGGAGCTCGCTTTTGATAGTGGACACTTATGTTGGGAGAAAATAAAATAGAAATGTGGATACTGATTTTGGGACGCTAGGAGTAATTACATTTCTAAATCAGTATGTGCATTCAATGGGCTTCCATCCAACGATTTGGAACTCAAACGAAAATTGGCTGCATTAGTGTACATAATAGATGTAGTCCCTCCGTTAGTTTGAGTTTTGAACTTTATTAGTTTAATAAAGTGAATCGATTATCTTAAGAATTTAGGGAGTTTGTGTAGAATTCAGTCAGTTTGATCTCAAAAGTCAAACTGAGTGTCTATTTTCTGCAATAAAGATGCTTATTACCTCATCCAATTTGTTGTCATCTTTCCGTGGACCGAATCCTAGAGAGCAACAGCTTAAGGAACTTCAATGTTTTGAGAGAATGACCATTTGAAAGGCTAGCAACTTCATGAGATGGTACACGATTATTGATCCTTTTTCTGCCCATCCGCACCAAAGAATCTGCCGTACCCATAACATAGTATACCTGCCACAGACCATGCCAAAAGGTCAAGAAACCCACAAGTTCTTTTCCATTTAACCATAGGCTTTGTATGTGCCATGAAAATTGTGACATTGGACATGGCAGATAGTTTAAGTAATTTGTTTGATTGTTCGTCAGTTGTCTAAAATGCCTCTTAACTATGAAATGGATAAGTAGGCAAGTATTATTTGGTCAAATTGCATGAAAATGCAACTTATTTTGGTCCAATTCCTATTTTGTCTAATGTACTTTAAACTTACATTTTGGTCCCTCAAATGTGACACTTCAAATATTTAGGACCTGATTTACATATGAGATTGCATGAAAATGCAATTTACGTTGGTCTGATTTCTATTTTGCTTAACGTACTTTCGTTTAAATGTTTGAGATATTATGTCCCAAAATGAAGGTTTTGAAAGTACGCTGCAGTTAACAGGAATAGCACATTTTCATGTAATTTGCCTTTCTTGTTTTTGAAAATCTTTCAGGAAAATGGAATCTTTCTAGAAAAGAAAATTTTCAATTTACCTTATATGTAAAGGTAGCTATCTTGAACTCCAGCCCATTTGCAACATGAAATCCTTCCATGGCCTTTGCCATAGCCAAGTCCTCATCTTCACAAGCATATTTGCTCTTGCTCTTGCTCTTGTTCCTGTGGATGCAAGAGCTTAGAACATGTTCTGCTTCATTGTAAGCAATTAGCATTGCATGAATAGACAGAGACTGGAAAACTGGATATTGTATTACGAACTTGATACTCCCTCATTTCCAAAATAATCAAGTCAGAGCTAAACAACTATTTTTGGTAAAACTTAATGCATCTTATATTGAAACTAATATCAATAACTCATTATGCTATAAAATTGATACAAACATTTTTAAAACAGTTGCAAATTATATAAATCAACACTTTTTTGTGTGTAAATGAATTTTAAAGTTTTCTTGAAGAGGGAAGGGATTCATATCAGTTTTGAAGATAAAAATTAGTCTGCTCTATGTCAAAACCCAACTGTACAAAACAGAGGGATAACAGTGGAAACCTTGTCAAAATTAGTTCTCCTGTACGACATATTAAAGCACAAAAAAAAGTAAGAACTCCATTGAGGAGGATTATGAGAAAAAAACTAGTTATATTATAGGAACACCTTACTGCAGAAAAGGGAATAATATTTACTAAAAGATCACGAGAGCAAATAAGTTATATATATTTATGTACACGACAAATTAACGCAAACAATAAGCTTTCTATTACTTCTGAAATGGAAGAGAAAATCAATAACATATACAACTTATACGATTTAGCATCTAATGCACAAGAAATTTAAATGTGAAATACTAAAACAAAATTAAACAATTACATGATACAATGCCTTAAGTTATAGCAGCATACATGAAATTTTGGTTGGGTGGTGTGTGTTCAAGAAAAATCAGAAATAGATAAAAACAAGATAGGTTTATGTTGTTGGTCTAGCTTTGGGTTGAATTTGGGTTGTATGGGTTATTCGGATTTTATTATACTAAGACCTGCCACAGCCCATACATCTTTTCAAGTCCAATTTAGAAAAGAAAACAAGCTATATAAAATTACGAAAAACCCAAACGAACCGAGTACTGGGAGGGGTAGAGTATACAGGACCTTACCTCGGCCACTAGGATCAAAAGGCTCTTTCCATTCGGACCTCCCGCTTGTGCACGAAACAAAGGTGTATGCAAGCACATAATAACATAGGTACTATAACAGGTAATCCGGAAAATATAAGAGGGAGAATAACGAATCAATGATATGCAAGCAGATAACATAATCAGGTAAGACATGTAACTCAAGTAGAAACAAACATAGCAACTTAAACATGTAGGTAAGACAGTAAGAAATACAAGCAAGAAAGGCATGTCCTATCAGCTGCAGCTAACCGACACAAAGAGCCTATTTGCCTACTCTCTACCTGCCTCTCAATACCTTTGACATCGCCCACTACCAGATCCTAAATTAACCCAATGCAAACTGTATCCCCATTAATTAGCAGCTATAGCTTGTTTACTTGAATGAAATTAGACCATTCTATGAACAACTAGTTCATTAGTGTGTCCAAGACAAGTTTATTGCCATGAAACTCTCTATGACAACCACATACCTTTTCAAGAAGATCCTGTGCCTTTTTTTCCCAGGAACAACTGAAAGGAATTGGGTGCTTAGATATGCGGCAAAATCTGGGTCCATCAAAGAAGCTGGTGCTTCAGACTTGTCATATCCAAAGTTCATCATCTGTATGGTTAATCGGGTATGTCTACATGTTTCTGGGATAGATGACTGCAGCAAAATGGAACTTGGTAAGCAATGCAGTACTACTGTCAGGTACTCCGTCGTCCCAAAATAAATACCCACAATGAAAAACCACAATTTTCGAAATGCGTCATTATGACACTCTTTAGTTAACTAAATGACAATTTTACCCTTAATAATAGAGAGTAATGAAATTCTCCATCTCATAATTAAGGGTAGAATTAGGAAGTAGACAATTACTTCTGAAAGTAGACACTTATTTTGGGAAAAACTAAAATAGAAATGTGGACACTTATTTTGGAACAGACCAAATTAGAAAACAACAAAGGGAGAGTTACAGCAGTACTTACACACTCAAATCGAAAAATCTTTGAGTCATTAACAATCACGCTGGCATTTGCATTATAAAGTTCGTCTATGAAGCTCTCCCCCTTTCTCAAATTTTCATATGCATACAGGTCAAGAAGCTTGTTATCAACCTCATCCATTGCTATGGTTAGTAACTGTGGGAGGTATTGGAATAAAAAATTCAAGGTCAAATTGGAGAACACGGTTGTATTTAACAAAGGCAACTAAGAGAAAGGAAGAGCATGTCACCAGTTTAGTAAGCTTGTCGATCAGCTTGTCCAATGTGAAGACAGGGAACGACCATGTGCCAAGAACAGCCCGACATTCATCCTCATATTTTGCACTATCAATAGCACCATCAAGAAAACTATAGAGGAGATCCAAGAATCTGTAGTACAGAAGAAAATAAATAAGAATGCTTAACAAAGACCACCGAGAACTTTGGGGAACAGAAAACAGAACTAAATTACAATAATTAAAATACCTAGCATATGAATCATTAGGTGTTGTATCATTTGAACCCCTCCATCTCTCGATGAGAGACTTTTCCTTTGCCTCCTCCAATCTTGTGTAGAGTATCTGTTAATTAAGAACAGGGATAAATAAAGAAAAACAAATAACAGATGAAATTAATTGTAGCAATGTGCAGCAAAGCACAGTAAGCTTACTTGATGAAGTCTGAAGAAAACATAAAAGTCATCATTTCCATAGAAGACACGAGAATTTCTCTTTTTATCGTGCAATGTTGCAGGAACATACAACATAAATGGTTTTGCTATCTCTAGAAAATGTTCTGAAAATTGACAACTCTCGTCACCCATCCCATCCACCATACCTTCACTCCCAGTTGCGTTATCATGGTCTCCATCCTGCTCCTTGGGAGAGAGATCCTCTGCATCAGCAGATTCACTTCCTGTATCATCACCATTCTCACTGTTATCCAATGACCTATGAGCCCTTTCCTTACCTTTGTCATCAACACCTGCTCTATTTTGTAGATCACCTTGCTGGTGTCTGTTTTGGTAAAAAAAATTGTTCACAGTGATATCTTTCGACTTATGGGTAGACTCCACACCAGGGTCTCTGTATGCTGCAAGATTATCTCCTTTGGTATCTCCATTTACTGATGATTCACCCTCATTTCGTTCTATCTTAAGGTAACTGTCAGTTCCATTATGACATCGCTCAGTTCTGCCACCCTCTGCTACAGCCGCATTTGAAGATGAAACTGGTTTCTTACAAGCACCACCCTAGAGCATGACATTAGGTAAGAATTACATCAAACAATACAATTAAGAAGGGAATAGAAAGGCACATAATAAGGACATGGCAAGTTGAGCAAAAGTACAGTTATTAATGATACCACTAATAGAATTAACATGAAGCAAAAGTGAGTTATTAATGTAACACATATGTTCTTCAAGTCTTCTCTAATGATCAAGACTCTATCTTGCACAAATGTGGATAGGGTAAATAGGAGTTAGAATGAGGTACATTGCTTCAGGCACTTTTAAAGGACATGACCAAAATATCTTGCTCCTGTATACTATTACATTGAAACAAGAACACCAGAGCTCAATCATAATTAAACGTGGTTTACGTTCTACCGCAAAACAGGGCAGTGCCAGGGATCTTTTTATTGAACTAAACAAATCCAGTATATCTCACTCAATTGAAACAGGGCAGTGCCAGGGCCTGAATAGTGTCGTTTGAATGGCAATTCAATTGAAGGACATAAAATTGAATAAATTAAAAACATTACACTATGATCAAGGTATATAGTTTTCTTTATCCAATATAATGTCCATTAAAACACAATTCTCATGCATGAGCCTTCAGTGACCATCATACCACAAAGGAAAGTAAAAGCCATAAAGAAAGACGTAAAATGAAATCAAATGAATGGGCAGTCAAACAGCATGACCAAGGAAAACAAGCTTAAGATCTTCATAAACCATTCTGAACGGAATAAAGTATCCATAAAACTGAGGAAGAACAGACACCTCTGGTGAAGAGAGAATTTTGTTACGGTCTGACTCAAGTCCACCGTCCAAAGCTGTCGTACCAGATTTTGCAGAAGTGATGCAAGGCCCTACCAATGATAAGAACAATAAAAAGACCATCCCAGCAAACAAACATGGAACAAATGAAATTGGAAGGTAAAGATAAATCTATGACCGCTAACCACCAGACATATGCTCACCACAGAATATCCCATGAGTTTTTTCTGGTCCAGTAGCAATTGATGCATTTTGAATCAAAATAGGTTCATTGGTGATGACTTGCTTACTAAGCCCAGATCTTGCATCAGATGGATGAACACTAATCTGGAATGTTTCATGTTTAGGGGTATTGCACAAAGAATCACTCTTATGCCCAAAATGACCAGTGTTGGAAAACCCATTCTCTTTCAAACCATTTTTATCATCTAACATGCTAGCTCTAAAAGAGCACGAATTTTCAGTGAAAACCTCCTCATCTCCATTCTTGGCAATGGTTGACTGCTTGATATTGAATGCGCCATGGGGAACCTTTATGTTACTTTGCCTAACAGCTGTACTGCCACTTGTTGCAGCATGATTGCTTGTTTTCGTGGCATCTTGGTCAGCTACGCATGAAGGCCGAGGAGGAATACCAAGCATAGGTTCCACAAAAGTGGTCCAGATCCTCACAGCTTTATCGATTTGTTCAGGGGAACCACTTTGAGCAACAGAATATTTCATGAGTTGATACAAGTCTTCATGGATGTCCAAAGCAGAGTACTTAAATTCTTGATGTGGAATAGAGTGTTGTTTTTTTCCAGGAGCAATACACTGACGAATATTATCCTCTATAGACTTCTCTTCACTGGTTTCCTTGATTTCAGCCAACAAAGCTGCAATATGAAAAAAAAAAACATGAAGACTTAATGGAGAATGTGATGTCCTTTAATGAGAAAAATCCTTGTACTTTAAGCAAGATCACTGCACTAATGCATATAAAATCAACTTAGTATCCATCTGAGAGAATGAAAGAGAACCCTAGAAATATGATTGATTTCTAAGTTGAAGTTCATGGCTTGCATCATGATACCAGAATGTGTTGTCAGCTACCAGGTGAAACAGATAGACATAATCACTTGTACTTCAACAAAAAGCATAGTTGATTAAGAATGAAGGAAGACATACCCTCAATCCCTGACAGACAGATTCTAGTACCTTTCTGCTTACAACTACAATGCTTTAAAGAGGATGCAGATGTGGAAAATGGAGAAAAATCATAGATGAGAAACTCCATCGATAAACAGGATGCTGAATTGTCAGATGAGTGGTTGCTTAAATTATGTTTAAACTTATGATGATGTTGTAGTTTGAACATGTAAGAATGCCCGGTTGACCTTTGATGGTTATCTTTCTAAACTATAACATACTTATATCTAAATTTGACCTTACTAGGATACTAATTATGTAATATAATAGGAAAGGTTTCATAATAGTTATTATTAATATGCATTTCGTAATTTACCGGTCAGAACCCGACAGTCCAAAATTTTCTCTAAGATCTACCATAATACATGATTTACATCTTTGTTCTCAGGTAAGGCCCATGGCTGGGGGTGCTCCGAAGGCACGTCATAATGCATCCTGAGCCTTTGAAGTCTCACCATGGTAAAACACTTTAAGGTTGTTTAGAATATGTTAGCCAAATAGTTCTAAAGGACATGAAGAAGGGAAGCTCTCAGTTATTGAAGTTAGAAAATTTGACCTTGACACTGTTCAAATATCTTTCTCGGTTCTTCATCTATGCTAAATTTTGCCATGGATCGAGACTCAACATTACACTTCCTTTTCCCTAGTACTGACATGTGCAAGGGCTACCAATTTTCAGCTTTCTCTTCTTTCATATTTGAATTTCCTGTAAAAAAGATACCAATATAGAAAGAACATTTCTCACTCCTACTTCATTAAAGTAAAGTAAAAGACGCAGACAATAGAAACAAATCAACAAATCGTGTATCAATACTTCAGAGCAGTAACACAGGACCCTTTTTCCATGCAATCCATCCAGGAAGAAGATGCTAAAGCAAAACCCAAAGCCCTTTCAGAGAATGAAGAAATTCTGGGCAAGCAAGAGGATGGGGAGGTAAACAAAGACAAGGGACGACAGGGAAAGGTTAAGATAGCCACCAAAGGGCCTTTGGCCTAGTGATATGTAGAGCCCCAGCCTTCCAGTAGGTGTGCAGTTCAAACCTCACCAAAGGTAAGGAGGGTGCAGGCGTTTGTTTGTCGTTCATTTGTCATATATAAATATTATATACTTCAAAAAAAAGGTTAAGATTGCCATAAATTAATCTATGGAGAAAGAAGCTTCATAGCTCCCTAGCAGTTACTTTTTGTTCATAAATATTATATTACTTTTTCTCTCTATTTTTTTTCCAGAGGAGTGTACGCCGTTTTTCATTTATACACAAAGAAAAATTCCTAATTAATAAGGAAAACTAAATATGGGAAGCAAACAAGAAATCCCCATAACTTTAACAAATTTACATATAACCCCTTATACTTCTACACCCTTGTTCCACAGAATTTCAGATTTGGCCGACTGGTTCTAGTACTATCCTTATTGGTCCATCCACTTACAAGAAAATTTCATGACAAAACTATATACAATCAATTCAACATTCTATGTTGGTTAACAAGAATGACAAACTTAGACTTGTAAAGATAATTACTGAAACGCAAACCATCTATGCTTCAAACGTTTTGATGTTATAGACATATGTGAAGCAATAGTTGGAATATTCAATATCTAACACCAGCTGTCTTTTCATGACAAGTATCAGTTTACCTTTAGCACTCAAGCTCTTTGAATCCTGCTGCTTGAAATAGAAGCTGCGATGATCAAGTGACTTGTGATAGTTTTTAGCATAAATTTCTGCCCAAACCTTTTTAGTATCAGAACGACACCTCAGCCACTCCTCTTGTTTCTGCTTCAGACGGGCTAATATTACTGGCAGAGCAACAGATGCGTTCTTCCTTAACACATCCATTACATCAAGCCCATGATCACCATATAGACGTCCAATGCATCTCAAATGTATAGCTGAGCCACACACAGAGGAAATCAGTAAACAAGACTGATGTAATGAGTTTATTTTGACCACTAATCAGTTTATTACCTGTGAAGTCTTCGATATGAACCACACTGTCTGTCTTGATGGAGTTATCATTAATTCTGTCCAACAGTTCTTCCACACGTTTGGCTGTTACATTTACAGATTCTAATAACATGTCCAGTTCAAATCTGAAATATAAGAACAAACAACACTCCCTATCAGCAAACCATAGCCAATCAACCTTCTTATAGAGATATCTCTCTTCTATGAAGGTTATATAGCAAATTAAATAAAATACACACTCCCTTAATAGAGTATAAGAGTCAAACCCCGATCTGTCAACATGTCATTCAGAAAGCATCACATAACCAAACACACATGCAACCAAAAGAAACCAACTGAACCAAGTGAATCCCACACGGAGTAGGGTTTGGGAAGATATGATGCATACATACCTTACCCTTCTACCCCTAGGGGTAGAGAGGATGTTTCCATGAATAGCCATGGCTTGTAAAATGGTTCTGGAAAAGAATTATGCAAGAGAAAGAAAAAGAACTGTTCCCAAAGTTTGACAGAAGAAATATTAGAAATATAAAAAGCAAGAGATGAAGTTTTGAATGGTGGAAAAAGAAGTAGCAGGCACAAATAATAAAGCAGGCAATAACATAAATGCATATGAAGAATAACCAAGCACACATGTAGTGATCTTTTCAAGATGAGTAAAATCAAAATAATACCCTCCAATTAAAGACAGGCAGGCACATAAATAAGAAAATTACTAAGCACATACAACCATAAGAATAGTAGGGTAAAGATCATATGCTACATATCTCAATAAATTCCCAACCTGTCATCTTCACATCGAAATAAGCTCTCTTCATACTGGTTCTTACGCATGTGTTTGAAAGAAAAATCCTCGCTTCCGGAAGTAACGGACACCCAGTGATCATTCAACACCTCAACACCAATCTTTGTTCTTTGACTTACTGAAGGAATGGGGTACTGTACCAAGCAAAATCCCACTTTTAAATAAAAAAACCAACTGAAAGACAAAAAACCAAATGTCCTCGATGTAGAAGTTCCTACATTTTTTGGCAGAAGCCGATAACTTGGGGTGCAGCATTCACAATTAGAAAGGTCAAGTTCTTGAATCGATTTCCACAGGTACTTCTCCTTGCTGGAAAGTGAAGATGGCTTGGATGGAGATGCATCTTTACTGCCAATAGCTGGCCTATTCCTTTCTTTGATTTCATGATCTCCATCCCTTTCATCCCTATCACAATCTCGGTTTCTATCCCCACCATCTACCTTTGGTGATCCAGGTAAATGTCCATCACTGCACAAAGATCCTGCCAAAACTAGTTGTAAGCAACAAACAACATATTATACAATTATAGATCTTTGTGAAGATAGTTTAAATTTTGCTATAGTCAACAGTCATGCTAGAGAATCACAAAAAACTGAATTTAACATCTTATTGCCAAGGAAAGAACCTTTTAGATGATATTAGAAGGGCATACATGTAAAATCAGCATAGGCATATACAAAATTACATGTATACTTACTCATGGAGGATTAGCCATCTGCATACATACATTATTAGATAAAGTTCTTAATAACTCGCAACAAAAAATACATTTTATTAGGCAGGTAAATAAGAACTTCTGTTAACAATTACTTGTCTTTTCACTGCGGTCTATAAACTCATCGACTTCCTCCACAAGATCCGAATATGCTCCAAGCAAATTATTTACCTAACAAAAATAGAAGTTTCTATAAATCTACAAAATTTATCCAGACTAGCAAATCAAATCTAAGCATGCCATGCAAAGAAGTCATGCTTCGGAACTTCAGACAAAACTAGCAGTTCAGGTAATCGCTTGTCACAGTCGTAAGTAACATCTAAGAAAAAACTGCATACGTACTTTGAGCATATAAAAAATAACAAGGAGCCGTGTCAAAAATGCAAATTGCCTCAATTCTGCCTATTGTGATGAGCATCTAGAGTGTGGCAATCCCAATTCGGATCATTTATGTTAACAGAACCACTATTCTAACGGAAAGCGTGCATGACTTATAGTCATGAACCTTACTTAAATGAGCCAAGCTGCAGCATGTAGCAGGGAAAAAAGCAGAAAATTTAATGATAAATACACAAAACACGGATGATAATGGGAACTAGTAATAGACAAGAACTGAAGATATAGAAACAACAAAGTAAAAAATCTTCAATTAATGCATATCGTGTACACAAGTTTACCAGAGATTGCAGTTGCGGTCGAGTAATAATTTCTGTGCAGTAGTGCGCAATGCACTTCAGAAATGCCTGGTAATCATCTGCGTTACTTAATCTTTCCTTCACCTTTTCACGGAGACAAAGCATTTGGCCATGCACATCTTCCCAACATAAAAAACTTCAATAAGGACAGGAAATAATCTTTTGATAAAAGAAGAAAAGAAAGACTATGGCAGAATGAGATTTTTAAGAGGCATGGTATTGTGCTATGTGTTTGCAAAAGGAACAATTTTTTATTTCTATCCAGTGACCAAGAGAGAAAGTAGAAGTGTGTAGTTATATGTATGATGTAAATGAGGAAGCTCCATGCTATGCGATATGTATCCATTTTCTACATCATTCAGAAATAGCTTGACAACCCTTTTTAACAGCCAAATGTGTTACTTAATGCTTTCACCATAATTGGAAAGTTTTACCATCAGGAATTTGTTCAGATGAGAGAATTTTTTTTTGTTAAAATGTACAACCAAAATAATACTGATGAAAATTAGAAAGACTGATATAATAGATGTGAGTTCAGGATAGCAATATCTTGCGGTTAGGAATTTAAAAAAAACCACTGAGAAAATACATCTCCTCGTACGACCCTTTGTACCAGCAATTGAACAATGGTAGTATCGGTGTTTGTAGAGTTGTCTTAATGAGTACATCGCTGACACTGATGGAGCCAGGAAGGGGCTAACAGGTGCCCTCAACCCCGCCAAATTTCCGCAGTTGATAAAGGTATTTAAAAACTTTAGGATGAAAATCATAAATTAAAAAAATTTCACCCTATAAATCAATTTGTAAATTTCAACCCCCCCCCCCCCCAATAAAAAAAAAGAACCTCCTGATAGATTTTCTGGCTCCGCTACTGAACGCTCATACCACGTTTATTACTGGTAACCACAAAAGCAAGAGAAAGCATGCATCTTGATGTTTACAAGGTAATTTGTCTAAAAGAATGCAAACCCATTTACCAGTTCAGTAGTAACATAACACATTTCATTCTTCTGAATTAGAAGATACCTTTATGAAACAGTTCAGCAACAGAGTCCTCAAGAGTATGAGCAGGTTTATGTTGGGTTAAATGATGCATCCGATCACAATCTCTATCATCTGAATGATGTTCTCTGTGTTCTGTGTTTTCCCATGTGTCCTTTTCTTTTTCGCCATGCCTCTTCTGCTCTTTATCAGCCATAATACATCCTTTTTCATGATCTGGATCAGATTGGTCAACACTAACTTTACATTCGGCATGAGAAGCAACAGTTTTCTGGCAATGAATAAGAATAGATATGAAAACCAAAAAAATATTTCTTTTCTTATGATGGTCAAATCTAGTCCTCAAATGAATATTTTAACTCTAATAACGCTGCTAAAATTGAGAAGTTCTCAATTATAATAGTGAATATTTTCAAGTGGCTCAACCTCTGATTCGCTAGAAAGACGAATATTAAATTGATCATGAAGATTTGCATCTGACTTAAACCAACTAGGTGGATTAAGTACCTTTTCAGACTGAAGAGGCCCTATTGCGACCGCAGGCGGGCTCCTACCATCACGTCCAGGGTTATGGTTCCTACTGGCCTGACAATAATGATTAGACCCTGCTGCTGAAGAATCAGGTAACAAGTTGGTGAACTCCTTGAGCAGGTCTTGCTGATCATTAAGAAGATTAGCAACCTAAAAGAGGATAGCAATGGAATGTACGAATCAAGAACCACCACAAAACACATGGAAAGATACCACGAGAGTATGTTACCAGATATTTTTATGGTCTTAAATGCAAACCTCTTGGTGGACTTCCTTGATGGATTTGTTTTCTTTTTTATACTTACTCAAAGTGTCAAGAAAATATTTGTACACATGGTCTTGACCTTGAAATCTCATCTGCAAGAAAAAATCTTGTTATAAGAGAAGTTTCAAATCCAAACTACCATTTCCGAAAACATTCTTCTTTAGATAGGCAATAAGGAAGAAAGGTTTAAACCTTGACCTCCAAGGTATTACCACCTAGGGAACTAGCCAAGTACCATCAAGCATTTGATGGCACCATTTCCAACTTCGTGTTTTTACCTTAATTTTGTTTACAAATAGAATCGCTTCATCGAATTCCAAAGGCTTCTTAATGTGATGTTGGTCATGCTCTCGTGGGAGGGTGATCTCATATCCCTTTGGCAGAAAGGGACTGAAACCCAAAATCAGTTCCTGGTGCCCTTCAAACAATTCCTTCACCCTTGCTATGACACCTGTGGTGTCAGTTCTAAGGAAATATAGTAATTATAATAAGAACATGATCCCAAACAAATATAGCATGAAAATTGAAAGAAGCAACAGGCTAGCCAAACCTTTGCTCCTTGAAATCTTTCATGACTTCAAGAAACTCATCATATTTTTCCTTTTTGTCTTGAAATATATCTTTAACCTTCTCGAGATATGTAAGGGCATCCTTAGTTGTCAACTTCTGTCCATTACTGTCCATCATCTGGGGATGACCAGGGCTTCATTGCAAAAGATAAATTGAATGAATTAAAACATTCAACAAAAGGGCCACAAGCTGCCAGTATATGGAAATATCCCGACAAACTTCTTGCATTTAACTGTTGACTAAAAAATTGAATCATGATCTTAAACGTATCCTCAAAATAACGAAGATAGTTACCGCTCATCACTTTCAGTCAACCTCCTAAGTCATCACTCGCCTTAAACACACACACTTGCTGATTACACAAAGAATGACTAATCCAAAAGACGTACCACTACTAACTTAAAATTTCTATCTAAAATCAATTTATAGTTAAATTTGATTATTGACAGGGAGACTACCTTTATCTTTTAGCCCTAAGTGATCACGAATGTTATCTAAATCCAACAAACACCAAAATCTCCCTATTTACATCTGACATTAAAAAAAAAAAAGGAATAGAACTTCTATTATATTCTTTAACAACAAAACCACTACATAAACTCATAATCACACACTTCTTCTAAACAATATATCTACAGATAGTATGATCAAAATTCGTACCGTTCAGAAACAAATGGCCGCTTGACTTGAGGACTCTTGCAAACATCATCATCATCTCTAGACCGCTTCATCCCTTGAAAATCGAACCATTTAAACTTTTCCAACACTTAAACCCTCCGATTAACAACCAAAACCAGCAAAAATGATACTACATATAGAAATCAACAATTAACAGAAGCTCCTTCACACAATTTCAAACCTGTGAACAGATCACCGTCAACCATTCCCGTTTTCTATGAAACAAAATTTAGCAATTCAGCTTGAATATAGATAGAAATATCTAACAATGCAATAATAAAAATCAAAGATGGAGAATTTTACTGTTGGAACACCGTAAGATCTTCTCGTTCATCAAGTTTTCTTCAAATTTGCCATCGAACTTTCCACGAACTAGTATGCATATATCACTATCAATATATGTATGTATTAAACCGTATAATCTGTATTTCAATGGACATACTGTACCTATCAATTCAGAGATACAGTTTAGACATGAGATATAGATACAGTTAGTATATGTATAGGCTACATATGTGAGTATTGTGTGTGTATTATAACAAAAGCACCGTCAGTGTGTGTAACAGGGAAAGGGGAGAAGAGACCGAGGGGCAGGCGTGGTCATTTGGCGTCTTTATTTTCAATAAGCTGGGTGACCGGGAACCGGTGTCTCCGGTAACATTTCTATGTGAAAGGGATACTAGGGCAAAAGAAAGGGGAAAGGGGGGGTAAAATTGTCACCCACTCCCAGATTTAAAAAATTAATGTGTATATTTAGTTTCTTATTAGAAAAGCTCATCATTATATCATTTAATATATGTTTAGTATACTGCAAATATTTTATAGACTTTAAGGTTTAGGGGCCGACGGGTAAGCGTCTTACCAAGTAACATTAACTCATCGGGTAAGTGTGGATTGGGTAACTTTCCTCACCTAATGCATATGGCAAGAGCTGAAAATCTTACCCGGTAAGAGCGATGATAGGGATAGAGAGTCTTACCAGGTAAGTGATGGTAAAGACTCTTATCCCGGTAAGCGTTTACCGGGTAAATTGTTGTATACGATACCGTTTTAATATAATATAATCTTATCTGGTTAAATAGATTATAGTGTTGATTCCTACAGGTAAGTGCTTACCTGGTAAGTGCTTAGCGGGTAAGTATTTGGGTAAACGGCCCCTTACTTTAGTCTTGGTTTGTATGATTAAAATGAATTTAGAGAGATTTAGAGTTCAAATCTAATTCAATTTTGTATTTAGTTTGAAATATTTCATAAATTATAAATTTTCTTCTGATATTTTATTAAAATTTCATGAGAATAGTATGATTTCAAGGGATTTCGTAGGATTTATATACAATAATGATTAATATATGTTTCGTAATAATTAATTAATAAAAAATATTTTTTTAATTTTTTTATAAATTATTTATAAACAATGTGATTCAATTTCATTTTAAATCCTACAAAACCAAACACATCAAAGATTTCAAATTATAATATTTATAATTCCAAATCCTTTCATAAAATCTGAATCCCTCATCAAATCAAAGCGTCCCGAAAGTATTTGGGTTTAGCTTTGAGTGAGAATGGGAGTTAGTGATGATAAGAGTAAGAAGGAATCTCTATCATTTAATTAATTTTAATTGAATCTCAGTACTAATGAGATGCATCGAGATGCACCAAATCAATTTCCGTAATAAGCACAATTGGGGTGAGGGTGAGAATAAAAGTGATCAATGGTACAGATCTCTTCTTACGCCTCTCATTTTAACTTCTATTCTCCAAGGTTCAATAAATAATGATGTGTGGAGCAGTGGCGAGGTCAAGACTCAAGCCTTACATGCCACAATGAGGATGCAGTGTTTTTCAAGACGTGATATAAGCCGGCAAATTTGTATGTCATATTTAGTATTATACATTTACACATATGTTTTCTATATTTTATCTAATCAGATAATGATATTAAAAATCGTATATTCATATTGGAAGACGAAAAATCATAATAATAATAATTATTATTACTTTTTGATTAAAATATCTAAAATAAAACTTCTAGAAGTAATTTTACAACTTCATTTTAATCACGAGTGCATAAGGTTTATGAATTCGTGAAACTGCAAGTGATGTGATCAGATAAATTTACAAGAGTGTAAATCTAAAGTTAAAAGTGTAAAAAAATATATAAAAAAACTAAAAATATTTGCAAAAATCACGTCTTACAAAAAGCGTGCAACGCGGCACGCCATGGCACGAGTCATGCTTTACAGAAATGCTATGAACTATTTCGTAACGACAGAAAAATGTCTTGCGTCATATCGCACCATGGCGCACACCATGGTGCACCCTTTTGAACATTATTATTCTCACACCATCCCTCGTACTAAGTATTAAGTACCAATATTTTACATCGGTCCCTATGATTTGCTCAAAATTTGGATTTGGTTCTTAAAACGAATTATCTACATTGATGATCATTAACTTTTCAATTTAATAACACTCATGGTCTTTAAAGTTAACATCACCGATTTGCTACCATAACATGGATAAATCAGTCTTTGGGCATATTGTAAAGACTAAGAGGGTGTTTGGTTCATGGAATTTAGTGGAATTGGAAGGAATTGGAATGTTCAAATCTTTGACCAAATTCCAAATCTCATGTGTGGTTCACATAATAGATGTGAAAGAATCATTTCAATTCCATCCAATTCCTTAATTCATTGATTTCACAATTCCACCGCATATACTACGGATTTCAAATTCCAATCCGACAAATTCCTTAGCCCTCATCTATTCATCGACTTTGTATCTCGATTTGCTCTGTTATGCTATGCTCGATCTCCTTTGCTCGATCTCCTTCAAAACTAAGAATGACAACGGGTCAGGTTCGGGCCGGATATTGGTATCCTCGTACCAGAAACTGATAACTAAAATCGTCCCCATGACCGCCTGATCCCCGTTGGGGATCTTATCGGGTCCCCCGGTTTCCCCGATCCCCATTGGGGAATTCGTGAAAGTAAAAATCCTCTTTTTCCCGTTCACCTTTGGTTGTAACCGAACCCGAAACAGATCTAAAAATTCCCATTAAAATTCCTGAATTTAATATTATATATATATATATATAGAGAGAGAGAGAGAGAGAGAGAGAGAGAGAGAGAGAGAGAAAGAGAGAGAGAGGTTGGTTCAAATAGAAACCGACAATATGGTACAAACTATGGAAACCGATCTTGACCAATCACATTATTTCTTCACTTTAGGTTCAAATCTAAATTATAAATTAATGATAAGAGTAATTTGGTAATTCAACCTTTTTGTAACCCCCAATAATTAATTGGGAGTTACAAATCTTAAAAGATACATCTAATTGTTTATGAGATTTTTATGATTTCTTTATTATTTCATGTTCATGGTATTCATTTCAATTGATTTTATATATATATATATATATATATATTGAAATTGGTTGTCTAAGTGTACAAGATTTTCGTTTCGTTTAAGATACATGGAGAATCCTATTGTAAAAGAATGTCAGAATAATGAAGACGATAAACGCTTGCAGTCTATGTTCATATCTACACACATGCACAACGATCATTGATTTTGAAAATGTTCATATTTGTGCATCTCTTGCAGTCTATGTTCATATATGTTCACCATATGAACAACTTGTTTTCATTGAAAGACACAATCGTTGTTCACACGAATCCGTGACGATGTCATAMGGKMYGACATKKRAAMAYATMWSAMCATATGAACATAGTGTTTACATTGCAAGACACAGATGCTGTTCACAAGAGCATAGAGCCGACATGTGAACATGAGTTGTGAATATGTTCATAATCGATCGTAGATTACAAATCGGCTGGAGAATATCGGGTTCACGATGCGTGAAGATTTATTACCAAAATACYCTGTGAACAATTGTTCATAAGCAGCCCAATTAATTTAATRATTAATTGATTATTTTTTAATACTCATTTAATAATGACCGTTTGACCAATTTACCCTTTGAACAATTATTTATACACATGTCAATTAATACATTAATTAAATTATTGTTTATTTAATCTCATTTAATAATAACCGTTTAATGATAAAATGAACGATCAAGATCGGTTCACATAGTTTGTACCATATGGTTGGTTTCTATTTGAACCAGCCCCTATATATATATATATATATATATAAATTAAAATTAATATATATACACATATCAAGCCGGACCGGGCCGATGATCACCGTCCCCGCCCCCGTCCCCGTTAAAATCCCCGAATTTGTCCCCGATCCCCGCCCCGTCCCCGATAAGATGTCCCCGAACCCAGCTCGAAAGTTTCATTTTCAGTTTTTTTTGCCTATAATTTTCTCGTTGAATTTCGTGAACGAAACAAAAAAATTCCAATTCGGTTAAGAATTTCATTCCAATTCCATCCAACCAAACACAATCAAAAGACATGGTCAAATTCCATTCCGTTCCCTCAAAGTCAAATTCATTTGATAAATTCCAATTCCATTCTACGAACCAAACGCCCCCTAAGAGTGTAATTCACTCAGATTAATCGTGATTAACATTTTTTTAGATTTATTAAAAGTATTTTACATATCCGATCATAAATCAAATTTCTAAAAATTTAAAATACATAATAAATAAAATTGTTTATATTTATTATAAAAAAATATTAAATTAACAAAATAACTTTTGGGTTATAAAATCTCAAGTTTAGAAAAACAAATGAAATCAAGAGAAGTTGGCATGCCTTTTGGTTTGGCCATTGAAATATGCAAGCAAAAATATTAGAATTAAGTACGGCTAACATGAAATATTTATATATTAAAACTTTGTTCGTTAGGACAAATATTTTTTTATTATGAAAAAGATAATCGTGTTTTAAATGTTAAAATACTGTGAGATATTGTTAAATAATTGTGGATAAGCTACAACAATTAAATTGATATAATCATCAAAATATTATTAAAGACGTAATAGCTTGAAAATTTTCATATGTTTTTTGGGAAAAAAAATTAATATATTACAATTCTTGGTATTTTTGAGCAACCCGATATTGATTGCAACCTTATCAGGGGTGTGAAACCTATGAGACCGAGGAGTTATGCTTTTTCTCCACCTCAGCTTCACGGATGGGAGGAAATTATGAGTAACGACTGTTGTGTTTAGTTTCCTAGAAGGAATGTTGAGCCTTGGTGTCAATATATGACTAATAGACATAAATGTTTTCCGACTAACTGAACAGTGTCGGGGTGCATGCTATATCTTTTACTGATTTAAGAAATTCTATATGAACTGGATTTATTGCAGCTATTGCAATGACATAGATTTCCTCACTAAAACGTATGATTTAACCCTCATTTTGTTTTAAAAAATATGCATTTTGAGGTAACAAGATTTAGACGGTAAAGAAAAGATAAATTTATGAGTTTGACTATTTGGATGTTTCTACATGAAGCTTATTGAAGAGCTTTATGAAGTTTGATGTTGATATTCATATTACTTGGATTTCCCGTATAAGAATTTTATTAGCAAAAAGTTTGTAATAGATTTCAAACAACTGTAAAGTTT